TCCCTTGTCTTCAGTCGTTACAATTGTACCCAGCTATCATTATTGTTGGCTACTCATTACGTCAGTGTCAGTCTGCTAAACTAAGGCTGGTTTTCAGACAGTATAATTAAAAACAAGGGATATTTACTTTAGAAATTCAAACTGTCTGTTTTACTGATTCATAGGTAAACTATTGGTGGATTACAATTACCGTTATGATCATTAACTAACCAAAATATTTCCATGGTTTCTGTTATTATCCCTCTCCGTATTGTCTAAAATGGTCAAAACATTTTGATTGGACACTAGTTAGTGTTTGGTGCAGACTAAATTCTATCAGTCAAGTTTACAATGTGGCTACCATGCCACTAGGTGGCTCGCCATCACGGTGCACTGTGAATTGTTGGTGTTAGATGGTTAGAAGCAATCGGCCACAGAAAGCCTTGGACACTCTCTAAGTTTCGTGCCAGTCAGCAAGAAGTACCTGCAACCTTCAGGGAACTCATGTTCCTTCTGGGATTCAAACCTGCGTCACCCAATCAGAGACCTTACCAGTGTAGGCTATTCGGGCTCGCGATTGACCTCCTGTAGGACTGACTGTAATGGATATTTTTGATTGTACACTAGTTAGTACCTAGTGTTGTGTGTCTAGTCCTTTGTTTGGTGCACCCTGAATTCTAGCTATCGTAGTGAGCAAATGCATTGGCGGGGGCGACAAGAACATCTCATTACTATTCTGAACATGATGTGAAATGGTTTCAACTCCAAAGCTATTGACTTTTAGCAGTAAACTGATCATTATAGAATAGGATTTAAGCAATCAGACACGTAGTTTCAGTTAATCCTCATCAGGATTTACAATGATATCATAAAATACTAGTCACAGACACTTGAAACAATGCGGATTAACAGGATCAAATCTAATCAAGTAGAATGTCAGTAGAATCATAAAAACAAAGCGGGAAACTAAGATTCAAATATACAAGTGTAGCACAGTATCGGAATGATAATAAAGTTATTGGTACAGTTATCCGGTTTCACCAGGATACATAACTATTTTAGGTTGGAAATGAATCTTATATGAGGGGGAGGGATTAGACAAACTTTTTCTGAACACACACACATACTGAGCAGAAATTGTTTTATGTCAATTGCCCCAGCTTTTTTAGCAGTCGAAGGCGTACAAACCAAAGGAATTGAGGTGTGCTACCTTGTATAGACTTTTAAAGTTTAAATATTTATCAGTCTTGTGATTTGTATTCACAAGGAGTTGTGCCAATATGGGACGCCTGACTGACTTTCCGATTCCTTTACTTAACCATGTTTGATATTACTGAAGAAGGCCATTGTAGGCTCGCCGAGTCGTTTTATCTATGTATGTGTCGCCAAAACAACGAGTAAATTTACAAATGCATGCTGAAGTGGCCAGATTTAGAAGCTTATTCTTCACCTGCATTGGAATTATACAACGAGTGACGAGTTTGAAGTATAGCGTTGCGGCAAAGAATGTTTTAGTCACTGTTTTTGGAGTTTCGATGCCAGTAACTCAATAGCTGACTCTTCTTTGAACAGTAAAGTCATATACATATCATCACTGAAAATACCCATGGAGTCATGAAGAAAGTAAAAGACAAATTCCGCTAGCGAAGAAAATTTTCTTTATCGACGAAATCATCTTCAGAGGTTGTATGTACAGTCGTATTAATATATTCACCAAAAATGTATAGTAGTCTATTATTGAGTAATACGAGGGGTGGTATAATTGACAATTTCTACAGCTAACAAATGGTCAATGGATGTATGAAGGATAAACTGCTGCCAATTCGGGCCACCTGCTTATGTGGAGTTAGTTATATTGGCCGCCTGCACAAAGCGCAGACTTTCCAAATGCATCTCTGAACATTATCCGGCATGGTTAGCAAAAGGACAATACAAGACAGTTAGCTACTAGCTCAATTCTCGAGCTCTTGGTGAACTCAGGCCACGCAGCTCCACAAGAGTCGTCTTTCAAGATCACCTACAAGGTGAGGACAAATGGTACAAAGGGCGTCAGATTTCGGCTTTTGTGTGTGGCGAAGGCGTTGGCAATTCATCAATACAACCCCAACCTCTGTATACAGAAAAATTTTGTCCAGTCTCTTATTCTACCTTGGTCTTAACCTTCTTTTTTTAAATTTTAAGTTTTACTTTTAGTTTGCTTTTACTTTAATGAATAATTCATTATTATCACTCTCATATGTTCCTTTTGTAAATTTTCTCACCCTCTTCACACTTGTTAAATTGACACTCAACTATCACCTTTCTTCTCACTCAATAGCAATTTAAACCTTATCAAATTTCTAACTTTGTGCTATTGAGTACCACAAAATTTAAAACTTTTACTTTTTACTTCTAAAGCCACTTCTGAGTAATTATATCAATTATGTCAACCCCCGTATTACTCAATAATAGACTACTATACATTTTTAGTAAATATAAATACGACTGTACATACAATCTTTGAAGATGATTTTTTCTCGATAAAGAAAATTTCTTCACTGAATTTAAACAATTTTCTAGTTAATTAAAGTTTAAGTTTAGAGAAGGAAATATTTTAAAAAGTATTTTTTCCATGGCGCCTTAATCTGGATTGCCTGCTTCAAATGTGTACATGATTTTTGCTGTTAAGTCAAGTAAGGAAAATTCCTAAGAAATCAAGCTGTTTCCGTTGTCTAAGTAATAAGAAGTAGAAATATAGAAACTAATCTATACACATCTCATAGGTATTCCATAAATAGAGGCAATAATTACACTAAATATGAAGGTTACATTTGATTTAATAGTTCTGACTGTTTCCTGGTGCCAAATACCGTCTGTCTCTGAAATAAATTTTTTTAGTCGCTCATATATCAGTCGATCAGACAGTGTATTGCATAAATGGAGATTCTAAAGTCCATGTCTCTGTCTGGTTTAGTCATATTTAAGAATTATTATTATTATTATTCCCTTGGGTTCCTAGTGGAATATAGGGCTTCAACTGCACGTCTCCAATTGTTTCTGTCTGCTGCTGTACTTTTCACTTGCATCCAGGTTAGTCCATGCTGTTTTAACTCCTCTTCACATGATCTCCTCCATGTCACCCTTGGACGCCCCACTCGCCGCTTCCCTTTCGGGTTCCACTCGAGCGTTGGACTGACGCGCGATGTCACCCAGCGGCCTCCTCAGCGAGTGTCCAATCCATCTCCACTTTCTCCTGCATATTTGTTGAGCGGCGATTGGTTCTTGTTTTGTTTGTTCCCATAGTTTCTTGTTGGTGATTCTCTCCGGCCATCTCATCTTCAGTATAGAACGAAGACAGTTGTTGATAAAGGTCTGCAACAGGCTGTTGGAAATATTCTTTGTGACCCGCTGGCCAAGTTTCTGATCCGTATAGAAGAACTGACTGACTTGACGTTTGTATTGAAAATCCGAATCATTTTGTTGTTGATGCAGGCTGAGTGAAGAAGATTTCCAGATTGGTTTCAGGTTGATGAATGTGTTTCTTGCCTTCCCGATTCTCGATTTGACATCCTCGTCCTTTCCTCCTGTAGTTGAGACAATGCTCCCTAGATAAGTGAATGAAGTAACCTCTTTCAAGTTCCCCCCCCCGTTGATCTTGACTGGCACTAGATGTTGCTGCTGTTGTTGTTGTTGGTTGTTTGGTTATTTCGCATAACCTCCGTCTTGTCTATGTTCACGTGGAGTCCTGTCTTTGCTGCTTCTTCGACCAGTTTGTCGATTTTCGCTTGTAAGTCTTCGATTTTGTGTGACATCAAACATAAATCATCCACGCGCGAAATCCAGGTCTTCTAGGTTCTTCACGTCGGTCCAGGATATCTCTGTTTTCTCGTTTCTCACTGTCTGACGCATAATCCAGTCCGCGACAATTAGGAATATCATTGGTGATAATAAGCACCCTTGTCTAACTCCTGTGATTACTCCAGACGCTTCGCTGAGTTTTCCGTTGTGGATCACTTGACATGTGCCGTTGTCGTAATTATATAAAACTGCATATAAAAATGGTCTACTTGGTTATATATGTCCAAATTAAGTTCACTTGTAACAGTTTGAAAAAAATTTGGGCACTGGGTATATCATATTCACGGAATATACACAATGGATCATAGGAATTATTAAAAAGACGGTTTCAGCGGAGAAAATTCTCTTCTCGACGAAGTCACCAACTAGATAGCTGTACATTCGTGTATTTATAATAAATGGATGGGAAAGTTTTAGAATAATTTCCGGTAAAGGGTCAAGTTAATAAAATTACAATTAGGAATTAAAATGCCACAATAAACAATGGGACAGATAAAACTCAAACAAGGTAGCATCGTAATTACTGAGAAGATTGACATATTGTGCAATTGGGGGTAAGAAATGTAGAAATAACAAAAATAGACAGGATGGTTGGATAACAAAATCTAGTGGGATCATAACTAATGTGACGAATAATTGTTTATGCAATCAGGGATTAAATATGTAGAAATAATAAAATGACAAGAAATAGACAAGAATTTTGAGTATGAAAATATGGTAGTGTAGACAGGGATTAAGAAAAACTTAAAATAACTTGAATAAACAGGAAGTTTGGATAAGAAAGGCCATGGGATGGTCATTACTTAAAGATATACCTGTTTATGATGACCATGGCAGGGACAAGGGTTGGATCGAAACTTTTATATTACTTTGAAGGATTTTTTGAAAGGCGCTGAATGTCCTGAATTGACCAGATGTTCTGTCACTGAACTATATACGCATTTTCGTTCTCCTTTTACTAGCCAGGCTGGATAGTGTTCACGAGAGCGTTTTTCAAGTTGGCGCATGGTACGACCGATGTACTCAGCTCCGCAAGAGTAATCCAGCTGGTATATGCACGCTGAAGTGCCCCAATGCGACAGCCAGTCTTTCGCGTTCTGGCTGAACAGTTTCTTGCAGGAAACGTCAGTCGTAGGCTCGTGGCTAAGTATGTTTTCCTCAGAGATTTGGAGAGGCGTTAACGGAGAATTTCTGCTTCAGTGTTACCTTTGAATTCTAGATTAAGCAGAAGTATTTTCTTTGGACAGATTGGACTTGTTCGGAAGTCTTCTTTGATTTGAGATTCTAGTCTACGAACCTGGGTGGAAAACCGTTTTTCATCAGGGTTCTTTGGAGATTACGCAGTTCTTCATCAATCACTTCCTCGCTGCATATTTTCCGAATCCTCGAGGAAAGAGCGTATATCAGGTTTCTCTTTCTGCTTAGGGGCAAGAAGCTTTGAAAGTAGATGAATTGTCCATTCCATGTAGGCTTTTTGTATAGGGGCGTTTTCAGAGAGTTTTCGGCGTTTCTTGTTAGATGAACGTCGAGGAAGTGGAACATTCCGTCGGATTCAGCCTCAAGAGTAAAGTCGGTGTTTACGTGGGCGTTATTGAAGATTTGAAGTAGGTTTTTGAGATCAAAATTCTCATCACAAATAATGAAAGTATCTCTTGTAGAGATGGAGGTCGTTGATATTTGATGATAAGGGATTGTTTTCATGATATTCATTATAATAAAGGTTTTATTGTATTTCACAATGAATGAAAGACAAAACGATATTGTTGTGCATTTACTGACGTTTCGTCATTCAATGCTGTTGTTAATAGCTTTATCAAAGTATTATTATTAAACCGGAATTTACAAAATCCACTCAGCTTATATATAACAGCTTAATAATCGTTTCCCAGCATGGCGTCATTTTTCCGTCATCAGATTGGCCAACTGGTAAAGATAACAAAAGCAGGTGTAGATTGTTGGATTTGATAAGTGTTTAAAATTATAAAAAAGCAGCGTTTTTACACAATGAAATTGCTTATCACATTCGTGTTGATCATGTCATTTCATGGGGGAGTGGAAGGAGTGCTGTGACCAGGTTGAATTCTGTTTTAGTCCATCATTCATATTCAGTTCAGACAATTTGGATTCCACTTGATATGAAGTGCTGGCTTCTGATGTGAGACGTTCTTTGTGATTTCTGAAATGCTTTTTCTGGATTATTTCAATATTATCAAAATCAATTTTGTGGCCTGATTCTGTGACGCGTAGACGAGCTATGGTTGGTAAGTTTTCAAGCTTTTCTAGTTCACCATGTGGATTTCTCGGTGGTCGAACATCAATGTTCACTTCTGATTTTGATTTCTGGCGATGTTTGGCCGATGTATATCGCATCACATCACATTCCGAGCATTTTATTTTATAGACACAATTAGATAGATAAACTTTAACGATTTAGTCTTTTACATGGACAAGGCTGCTTTGTAGTGTGTGTGTGTCTGATGTTTTGAAGAAAACTCTGATGTCGAGCTGACTGAGTACTCTTCTGATATCGTCGGATGTCTCTGCTCTCCATTGACTGACAGCTGTTGAGGTCCATGCTGAAATGGCCAGTCTGTTTTCATGTCAGCTGCTAGTAAAGAATCTCATCTGTCTATAAATCCCAGTATCATCATTATCATCGAACAAGCATAGAATGGCAGTCAACCATCATTCTCCACCTCAACTTCACTCACTGACTTAGAAAAGGCCTTCGATAGACAGCGTTGACCAAGAAGTAATTTGAAAACAACTTCAACACTATGGAATGCAGTGCACAAATCTTTATCAACCTCATTCAACAGTTAGCGATATGACAACTCCAGGTGTCAGGTTATCCACAACGGAAAACTCAGAGAAGTCTGACTTTGAAGTGCATACAGGAGTAAGACAAGGCTGATTGCTTATTATCCCCCACGATGATATTCCCTAATTGTGGCGGACTGGATTATGCATCACAGTGTGCGTGAGGAGTGAGTGAGAAGACAGGAATACGCTGCAATGACCAATAAGAAAACTCTAGAAGATCTAGATTTCGCGTATGGAAGGGTTGCAGGGGAAAACCATCAAACTGGTTGAAGAAGCACTTCAGCGAGGACAGGACTAACCCTAAGTGAACAAAGAGAAGACGGAAGTGATTAAGGTAGCCAACCAATCAACAGCAGCAACAACAACAACCAGCACTAATCACTACCAACGAGAGATATTTGATAGAGACTACTTTTTTCACTTATCTGACTAGGAAGCACGGTTTCAAACACAGGCAGCTGAAACGGATGAAGATGTCAGAACCAACCAGTTTGAATGAGAAACCAGTTAGGAAATCTACTCTTTCACTCAGCCAGCCAACCGGAATGAAGAACAAGTTTCGAATTCTGTTCAACAGAAATGTGAAGACATTCAGTCAGTTCTTTTATGCAGTTCAGAAATTCGTCAGGTCACGAAAAAGATTTCCAACAGGCCAGTGCAGAGTTTTATAAACAGCTGCCTTCGACGGCTCCATAGTGAAGGCCAAATGATCAGAGAGAACGAATCAGCAACAAGAAACTCTGCAGGTGAGCAAACCAACCAAGAGCCGATAGCCCAACAAATATATAGAAGAAACTGGAGGTAGATTGGGCACACACTTAGGAGGCCGCCAATCGGTATCATACTCAATGCAGGCCATTGCTGGAGTGGAATCCCAAAGGGTGCGATGTGTTGACTGACCGACGGCAACATGGAGGAAATTGTTTGGGGAGAAGGAGATGAGAGATCATGGGCAACTGTCGACCCAGCTGAAGAGGACAGCAGAAAATAGAAGAAAGCGGAGATGTATTGTTGAAGACCGAGGATGACCAGATTATGCAGTTGACAGCTCAAAGACTTCGGTCAGCCATCAGACGCACATTCTACGCCGCATCTCTTTCTCTCACATGCTGAAATTTTTCGATCCCTGTACCTACACGATTAAATGACGAAATTCTGTGAACTCTACTTCAAACTGTATCTACAAGTTCACCTGCAGCTGCGGTGACACCTATATAGGTAGAACCAATAGAATGTCTCAATGTCGTTGAAAAGAACATGTTCCAAATTGGCTACTAAATCATATAGAAAATCCCAATGCAATTAATCTGAATAGAAATCCGGCATCATACATTGCAAGACACTTATTAATGTCAGGTCACAAAATCAATATGAATGACTGTTTCACAGTTATTTCACATAACTCTAATTCAAGGTTGGTTATTAAAGGTGATGGAAGCACTTTGGGGGATTAATCACATACAGCCTAAACTGTGTGTACAAAAAACAATAGACTTCAACCTTCTCGCCTACCATGGACTGCTTGACGTATTTAAATATGATTGGTCATTAGTATGTACTTTTGTTTTTTATATAACTGAGTAATTGTCCTGAACTTTATTATTGTTAACCATGTTAGTTGCAAAGCGATTGTAAAGAAACTACGAAATGACCATGTCGTCTTGCGTAATTTGTCTTCTAAATGCCTTATTCAAATTTATCAAAGGGACTAAATGTTTTAACTTGTAACTGGAAAAAAATTTCCAATGACTTACTTCTTTGACGATCTAAGAATGTTTCCAATCGACAGATTAAATCTTCTTGTTGTTTCACTGTTTTCTCCAGTAATGGTACTCTTGAAGCTTGTTCTTGAGCTTTCTCAAGATCCAGAGACTGTGTTTTATATTCAGCTTGAAGCTAAAGAGGGTGTATGAAAGCATAATCAATAAATCTGATGGTTAGACGATTAAATGTCTTTGAAGCAAATGTATGATGGTGGTGAATTGTGCAAAAATGGACTTGAAGAGCATTTTGATACGCTGTAAGTCATTGTACCCACCTACCACTGCAAACATGATAACTACAAAATCCTACTTTGGCAGAAAACCATGACGAACAACTTGAACGCTATCGGTAATTACTCATTCATCAACTCTACATACACACGCACACTGCCTCCAATTCCCTTCGGTTTGTCAGTAATATTTCCGACTCCAATACAATCGGTTAGCATCATATGTCATTTCATGTTACTTCTCCATTGGTTCCTGTTTAAACAATACATTCACAGGAGTTGTTACTATTATGTCCCATGGATGTTTAGTCTGATACAGTGGCTAGCTATCATGTTAAGTTGTTGGCATTACAGTGGATAGACTCCCGGGACCCCTGTTTCTATAGAATCGCTCTTATCCAGTCTGGAAGTTGACACTTTCAGATAGTATACACAACGGACAAAATCCCGTCTAAGATGTGTTGGTGACATTTTGACGAAACTTAGTTCAAGTCATCCTTTTCCTACGTTTACAATAAAGCAAGAGGTAAATGGTACTATTGTGGTGAGAGCTATTTGCAAGCCGAAAATTGTAAACAATAATTTACGTCAATGTTTACGTCTCGAATCAGGGCCATGAGAAAAAACAATTACAAAGCTTAACCTTGAGGAACTCATCATCCAATCACAGCAGACTTAACGTCTGCAAATACGATTCGCGGATATATGGCTTATCTTTCTAAGAAACGGTCGCAGGCAGTACAGAATAACCTTCAGCAGGAAAACAACCAATCAGAAGACGTTGCTTTCCTGCAAACAATCTATAAATATCTGTTGATTTTCTTACTAAACGATCTGTTGCCTGGCCGTTCGTTGTCTTCTGTTGTTACACTATTAGATTTCTACACGTATCTCCAGTGAAAAGAATTAACGATATTGTAAAATGATGCATATTTAGAAATCCTTCATAGAAGGGGCAGTACATACACTTTAAAAAATTTTTTCTCACTCAATACAAAAAGAACCTAGTCAGCATAGCGTTCAATAGAGCACGAAAAGTCTGTTTTGATAGTACAGTCGAAGACAAAATACAGACACGAAAAGATATTTCAACTAAGGCGTTCTCAAGGTACATGTGTCAGTCAAGACTGTCCTAATAGCTTCAAAATAGCCTGTATACTTCAGTCTATCAGTGTTAAAAGCGACGGTGAAGGCATGACAAAGCTATAACTGGAATCTATTATGCCAAAACTTTTTTATCCACAACGTCACCAAGAGGGTGCTGTAACAGTTTTAGGAGCAGACTAGATGACAGCCGTCGACACTTCTAACTATGTATATCAACTTCGGTGGATTTGTACAGACAAATACATAGATCTTACTGAAATTACCGGGGTCAGAAAAGGAAGAAGTCTAAGCCCATGGCAAAGTGATTCCGTACACACATTTTAGGGTTTTCCTTGTCGCCTTAAACTTCTCCCTCTTTTGCTCAGTACAATAATTTGGTGTGTAATATAAATCCAATCGGTCCCTTTATTTCCTATTATTCTTATCCTACAAACTCCTAAATTCAGAGTTTAATTTGTACACTATTCTGAATCTCTTACTCTTATGAACACTATTCCTCTTTCCATGAGTTTATAGTTTTATTATTAATGATAACTTTCTATAGATGGTTTGTAAGGATTAGTTTTGTTTTTTTCCAAGTTGATCACGGAAGATTGATATCAGTTAGAGAACCATTGAAAACCAGCCAGAAGGTACTGGACAGTTGTTTCATCAGCCTAGTTTGGGAATCATCGGCAGTATGTACCCACCCCACTGTCAGGGTTCGAACCCAGGACCTTCTGGTTACTAGGCAAGCTAGCTCGTATACCATTCACCCACTGGGACCTGACTCAATCGCCAGCTCACGAATTCTAGCTTCTACCTATTCATGACCAGTGAGATCCATCCGGTCAAGTGTGAGAATGGATCTTCCACCGACGACATTGGTTGGTGGCCACGCTAAATCACGAATTGGTAGAAGTTAGAATTCATGGGCTGTGGCCACTGAGGAGTTGGGTCGCAGTGGCTGAATGGCATACGAGCTAGCTTGACTTGTAACCAGAAGGTCCTGGATTCCAACCCTGACAGTGAGGTGGGTGCGAACTACCGATGATTCCCAAACTAGGCTGATGAAACAACTGTCAAGTACTACCTGTGGCTGGTTTTCAATGGTTCTCTAACTGATATCAATCTATGATCAACTCATAAAAACAAAACTAATCATTACAAACCAGATTATGTGACATGACATGACCTTTATCATCATTTCTCTGGCTTTCTAGATCAGCTTTCAAGTGAAGTTATGGAAAGATTATATTTTGCTGACCTATGCCTCAATAAAATAATCTGTATTAGATGGTTGGAGGCAATCGGCTGCAGAAAACCTCACCTGACTTAGTTTTCGTGCAATCTGGCACTCAACACTGAGTAAGGTGTATATGCGACTGCCTTAAAAGATACTTTTGATTGGAGACTAGCTAGTAACTAGTGTAATGTGTCTAGTTCATTGTTCGGTGCAGACTGAATTCTATCAGTTGAACTTGCAATTTACGGGGTGACGTGGATACGAATTTCAGAAGAGACAAGAATTCCATAAAGTTGGTCGCAGATACGCCTTGCTGACTGGTGAGTGCCAACTAGCACGAAACCTAGTGGTCGAAGGCTTCCTGTGGCTGACTGCCTCCAACCATCTAATACCAACAATTCACAGGGCACCGTGATGGCGAGTCATCTAGTGGCATGGTGGCCACATTGAAAACTTGACTGGTAGAGTTCAGTCTGCACCAAAGATAGGAAGACTAGACACATTATACAAGTTACTATTCAGTGTCTAGTCAAAATAATATAATCTGCTTATCAGTCATATATTTGCAATTGTGATTCGCCGAATATATACATATTACAGAACAGAAAGAAGGCCACATCTTCGATTTTCTGAACATGTGCTGAAAAGCCTACGTCTCAAGGGAACAAACTCTTATAATAGCGCTATTACCAGACATCTCCGCGATAAGAGTGATGAGGTGAAAATTGCGAAATCATTTAAAATTATCAACAGACAAAGGAGCTCAATTCTTCTCAAGTTTGCCGCAGCAATTTCTATCAAACGCTTGAACCAAACCAGATTTATGTGTTCAGAAAGAAACAGTTATTAGTCTTTCCTTGCCCTGGTAACTGGATCTATTTATTCTTTCTTTTATTTGATTACGCCATCTTTGGCTTTAAACTCACTCCTTTGGTACACTATAATTTTGATTGTCTCTTGTTTCTATGATTTGAGTTGAACTCAGTACATTGTAATCTAATTTATTAGTCACTCAGTATCTTACTCACCTCACGTCTTTAACACGTAACTCCTCTCCCATTGTATGCATACATTCACTTTGTTCAAAACTGAACTCCCTGTGCAAAACCTATATAAGCGTAATCATGCAAAATTTGCATGTATGTTAAAACTTTTCTGTATATAAACCTCATAATTTATTTAGGCTGTAAGCAGCTGATGAAAAGCCAACGAAATAAACATTGATGGTACCATATTATTCTGCACAAACCACTAATGTTTTTCTTGTTTTATTCAAATATTACATTGTGTCTAAAGTATTCAGCCGGCATGTTCCATCAAAATTTGATGAATCCACTAAATCTTACTTTAATAATATTTATTTCTTTATTTCAAAATCATTTTTTTGACCATATAATTGTTCAGAAATATTTCAAGAATGTAGTTCAGTTGTTAGCTGGAGAACTGTCTCTAACTATATGAAAACTGGTTCTGACAGGAAAATGGTTCCAATTCTGTAGGACTACAGGTGAATACTGCCGATGAGGACCAAACTAGGCTGAAGAAACAGCTATCCAGTACACAATGGATTTCAGAGTGGTTCCCTAACTGATACCAGTCCGTGATCGAACTTGGTAAACAAATAGAATCCTCACAAAGTAACCCTTGAAAATGACAATTACCGTTTACATAGGAGAAGACCTGCATCAGTTGGTTTAGTGGTGACTAGCAGTGGAATCCAGGATAAAGCGCATTTCGTTCTATTTGGGACCGGCTCGTTAGCTGGGTGTACCTCCATTCCCAAGTGAGTCAGTGATGATGTTCCCTCCACAGACACTCGAACCCAGTGCCCACAGTTTCAAACGACTAAGCGTTATCCACTAGACCACTTGGGCAACGAGAGCACTCCCGCCTCTTGTGTAACGGATCTTATTAATTATTTAATTCAGATTTTGATTGATTGGACCAAAATGCTCAATCTCAGGTTGACATGTCACCACCATCACTAACTCACTGAGGAATACAAGTACATCCACTGGCTGACGAGCCAGTCCCAAGTAGGACGAAATGTGCTTTATCCTTTTGGATTCTACTGCTGGTCAATCACCATCCACCAACTGACTTCAAGTGACATGACCAAACATTGTCGAAGTATCTGTATAAGAGTGAGTCGACATGTCAACCTGAGACCGAGCAGATCCTGTTGTACATAAAGTTGAGAGGAAATGTAGTTCAAACCATTCATCAAGATAAAAAAAATTAACAAATTATTAACTCTTTCTTACTCGGATCAATTTTTCTTCATTTTTTTTCTGATGAATCAATTGGTCTTGTAGAACAGTGACACGTTCCTTGTAATAGGTCAGTTTACCTGCTGCTCGAAGTAGCTTCCTTTTCATGATGACTTGAAATAGTTTTGATTTTTTTTTCCAAAGAAACATGTGTTTAAAACAGAGAAATTTTATAAGCAAATTAATACATGAATAAAGTTATGATTGGTAGCAAAATAAAACTCATTAGTTCTCATGAAATGATTGAGTCTTTGTATTTGCTACAAGCGTCTAGGGACACATGTAGATGTTTCATTATATTAGGTAATTAGTATTAGGCAATCAGCCACATTGCAAACCTGACTGATAGAATTCAGCCTGCAACAAACAAAGGACTGGATACATCACACTAGTCACAAACTAGCGTCCAATCAAAAGAAATATCCGATACAGACCTACAGGAGATCGATGCCGAGGCCGAATACCTCAGTGATAACGTCTCTGACTAACTGCAGCACTGGGCGACACGGGTTCGAATCTCAGAAGGTACATGAGTTTCTTTGTGGTGGTTGCAGATACACCTTGCTGACTGGTGAATACCAACTAACAAGAAAGCTGGGTCGGATGCGCCTTCCTGTGGCCGATAAGCTCCAATCATCTAATATCATCAAATCAATGTGCACCGTGATGGCGAGCTACCCAGTGGCATGGTGACCACATCTCAAACCTGACTTATAGAATTCAGTGTGCATCAAAGATAGTCGGACTAGACACATCACACTAGTGACTAGTGTCCAGTTAAATGTTTCATTATATAATGGCAATCTATGGTTGAAAAAAATACTGTGACATAACTTCTCCATTTCAGTGAGAAATAAGTTATAAGTTACAATAACGAGTTGTAATAAAGCGAAGATATAAGGTGAGGATAAGTAGTACAAAGGGTGTTAGATCTCGGCATTTCTGTATGGTGGAGGTGCTGGCAATTCGGCATTACAACCCGGAACTCCATAGACAGAAAATGTCTGTCCAGTCTCTTATTCTACCATGGTCTTAACCTCTCCATTAGTCTTTCCTTGTGAATTTTTTATTTTTAGTCTGCTTTTGCTTTCATGATTACTTCATTATTGTCACTTTCAGATGTTCCTCTTGTCCGTTTTTCAACCTTGTTCACACTTGTTAAATGAACACCCAACTACCGTCTTTCTTCTCAATCAATAATTATTTCAACCTAATCAAATTTTTAACGCTTTCTTCCTTTGTGCCGTTAAGTATTGTATAATTTACAACTTTTATTTTTACTTTAAAGCCATTTCTAAGTAATTACATCAGTTATATCAGCAATTATTTTACTCAATAATAGAGCTCTATACATTTTTGATAAATATAAGTACGACTGTATGGCAGCCTCTGAAGATGGTTTCGTCGATAAAGAAAATTTTCTTCTCTGGCTGAATTTGTCTTTTATTTTCTTCATGACTCAATGGGTATTTTCGAGGATATGACACTATGGTTATCATATAGCTAAAATTTTATGTTATCCCAAACTAGGCTGACGAAACAGCTGTCCAGTACTACCAGGTTTTCCAGTGGTTCTCTAAATGATATCAGCTCATGATGAAATCCTCCATCCAATCAAACTAAGTCCTTACAAACACCAATACTTGAAAACTGATCTGATGCTCACTAGCGACGGGCACTATTCAGGAAGTTACCTGAGGTTCTAGTGGGAAGCCGTGACTGGTAGGGTACAGCAGGTTGAAGGTGAGGCAGTAACTCATCATCTAAGAAGACACTGCGAAGTGATCGCACTATGTCATGAATTGGCAGAAGTTGGAATTCATGCATTAACTGGCCATCGTGAGATATAAGAATAAAACTTGTGCGCTGTGGTGAAGTATAATTCTATTATGGGTAAAATTTATTTTGAAAAAGTCTGACAGAGTGTTATACAGTAATATTTAATGATACCTACATGACTCCGGGACACAAGAATTTAGCGAAGGTTAGAACGGTTGACCCCGCGAAGATAAGTAAATTGGAAACACTCAGCAACTGGACTGTATACAATACACACAATCACACAATAGGGTGGGAGAGGGTTAAAGTTCTAAAACGTAATCTAGGTAGGTGGAGAGCAAGAGAGGTTGATTACTGAATCCTTGTTCATTGAATAATCTACACCCAACACTTGCAATAGGAATGACTCATCACTCATACCAGAAAAATGGGAAATACTGCTACCAATCAAATCAAGCGATGGAAAATAATGGAATTATATAAACGAAGTTACAAAGTTGTGTGAGTAGTGTCTTGATATGATTATGAGCTGCAGTAATAAATTGGGGTGCTCAAAACGTCGGTATCATTAAATATTACTGCACAACACTACACCGTGTGAAACTTCATCAAAATGAATTTTACCCATAATGAAACTATTGTGAGATAGTACTGCTTAACAGATCCATGCTTTAACTACCAGCGGTTTCTGTCAGACAGTCTTCGGTTGCTTACAAGCACTTTTTTCCAGTCCTGACTGGGTCACTGAGATACCACCTTTAAAACATTACAATATCATAAATTCAGAGATTAAAAGATATATATAATATTTTTACCAAGTAAATTTAATGCTTCTCTACGCGTAACTGGTACATCTTTCAATACTTCTTCCCAACCAGGACCAAGTGCATTCAAGCGTAACCAATCCCAATTTGTTGGTTCAAAATTTGTTTCACCTGGATACAAATAATCTGAACTAAAGTAGTGTGGCCAATATTTTCTTGATGTATCCATCTGGGATCGTCTATCCAATAAGCGTATTTCACTATCACTTAAATCCCAAAAGTTATAAGCTCCATTAACTTCCTAATAATAAAGAGAACAGAATACGAAACAGGATATTTTCAACGGATTTGCATAGATTAGGTAAACACAATTTGAAAACTCATTTTGATCACAGCTCATAAAATTTTGTCGATTATACTTGTTGATACTTGCTGAATGACTCATGATTGGACAAGTGATGTTCCTTTTATATATAAACCTCTGCTGTTATGTTAATTTCGATTAATTTCCCTGAAGAAGTTCAGACCAGATTGCCGAACGAAACGTTGGAATTAATCATTTCAACCTCGTTGAGACTTTACAAATATAATTTTTTACAAATGTCTACTTCTCACTTGGTGTCCAAATATTTAGAACTATTCTGTCAAATCTTGAGGACAGTTCATTTGAATTATTTTGCAATCGAATTAAATTAACAAGGAAACTGTGTAACTGGCACAATCATCGTGTTTTCACTCTTCGTTGTCTGCAACAGAATGCATATCCTAAATCGGTGGCTGTCAAGTTACCTGACAACTCCAGTAGGTCGAATAAAGCAGCTCAATCTTCAGAAAGAAGACAAAGCAATAAGTCCGGCAGGGTGCTTCTACTAAACTCTAATCCTAAACACCAGAATTTTGAAAATACATCTAATCATAAAATTCTAGATACTAACAGTTTGAATGGACATGAAGGCGTGATGTTAGCTGATGCATAGGAAATCCTTATTAATAAATAAAAATGGATATGTATCACTAATTACTAATGCCTGGTCAAAATTCCCGACTGTCCAGATCTTCTTATGGAGACGTTAAGAAATGTTTTACAACTGTTTACCCACACACACATACACACTCTGTCTAAAGTGTTTAACAAAGGTAGACCAATATTTGTAAGTCCGAGGTCAAATTTTGATCACAGCTCATAAAATTTTGTTATTATACTTGTTGAATGACTCATGATTGGGCAAATTTTTTAAAAAGAAGTGATGTTCCTTTTATATATAAACCTCTGTTATGTTAATTTCGATTAATTTCCCTGAATAAGTTCGGACGAGATTGCCGAACGAAACGTTGGAATTACTCATTTCAATCTCGCTAAGATTTCACAAATATAATTTTTACAAATGTCATTCCTACTATTATTATTATTACTTCAAATAAAGTATAATTATATTTCAATGGTTTACACATACAATGATAAGTTTTGTTCTTGGTAATTTTCCGAGAAAGATTACTACTACCCATGTTCACACACCAACTGTTGGAATTGTTTTGTTCACACATTTATGATTTGTACTCATAATAGATATAGTTCATTTTCTTTTGTACATTCATGTTTTTGTATTCAGAATTAAATTCCAAGTTGTTGACAGTTGTGCTGGTGAGTCACCCTTGTTACATAAATGTATCCGGTGTGACCTTAATGAATATAGATTCTGTTATTAGTAGTCTCTCTTTCCATTAGTTCATATTTTCTATAGTTTTGTTTGTAAGGTTAGTTTTGTTTTTTTCCAAGTTGATCACGGAAGATTGATATCAGTTAGAGAACCATTGAAAACCAGCCAGAAGGTACTGGACAGTTGTTTCATCAGCCTAGTTTGGGAATCATCGGCAGTACGCACCCACCCCACTGTCAGGATTCGAACCCAGGACCTTCCGGTTACAAGGCAAGCTCGTATACCATTCAGCCACTGGGACTCGATCCAATGGCTGATGAATTCTAACTTCTACTAATTCGTGATTTAGCGTGACCCCAACCAATGTCGTCGGTGGGACATCCATCCTCACATGTGACATTTGGATGGACGTCACTGGTCAAGACTTCTCACTAGAACTCCAGGAAACTCCATCCTGTAGCAAGTCACTAGCGAGCATCAGATTAATTTTCTATAGTTTGGTTAATAAGGGTTAATTTTGTTTATACGAGTTGATCACGGATTGGTTGGAGTAGCGCTAAATCACGAATTGGTAAAAGTTAGAATTCATGCACTGGCCATTGAATCGGTTACCAGTGGCTGAATGGTACAAGAGCTTGCTTGTCTTGTAACCGGAAGGTCCTGGGTTCGAACTCCAGTGTATGCGTACCGCCGATGGATCTCAAATTATATCATATTAGTTTTTAGAGTACAAACATTGACCCAATCGATATTGTGGTTGTTTGTCCCTTGCATGTGCAGCTATAGATGATACTTTTTTCTCAATTCTTTTAGGCTTGTGTTCCTTTTGGTTGACACCTTTAGTTAGGCGTTTATGTTCATTCACTCTTACTTTGAGTAATCTGGACGTTTAACCCATACATTTAGTCGGACACTCGACACAAGATATTTTGTAAATCACATTGTTTTTATCCATCATTTTTATGGGATCTTTCAGTTGATTTATTTTTAATTTTTTATTAGATTCGTCGGTTTAAACGTGGCGTGAATCCCAATACTATTGAGGTTTCTTCAAATCGCTTCAAATTGCCTCAAAAATATGGGGAGGGGGTCCGCACCACCTCCAAACCGACGAATCTAATCAAAAATTAAAAATAAATCAACTGAAAGATCCCATAAAATTGATGGATAAAAACAGTGATGTGATTTACAAAATATCTTGTGTCGGGTGTCTGACTAAATATATGGGTTAAACGTCCAGATTACCAAGAACAAAATTTATCATTGGGTGTAAACCACTGAAATATGATTAAAGTTTATTTGATCTATTCCACAATGCCCAAACTTTTTACTGACAATAATTATTATTACTATTTATTCCTAAAATAAGCAACAAAAAAGGGCCATTGAATTGGGTCCCAGTGGATGATTGTTAAACGAGCTTGCTTGTCCTGTAACCCAAAGGTCCTGGGTTCGAACCCTGACAGTGGGGTGGGTGCGTACTACCGATGATTCCCAAACTAGGCTGATGAAACAGCGAGCTGTCTGGCAGTACTCCTTGTGGCTGGTTTTCAATGATTCTGTAACTGATATCAATTCTCCATGATCAATTCGTCAAAACAAATCTAATTCTTACAAATCAATTATTAAAAAAAGGTTAATAAAGCAGGACTTAATGAATTCATCAAATGTCGATAGAACTCCTCAGCTAAATACTCGGCATACAGGGATATATTTATAATGCTATTAGAAATACATTAGGAGATATGCGACTGATAAGTAAATAAACTACATTGAATTAAACAGTTGTAAAAAATTATATTTGTAAAGTCTCAGCGAGATTGAAATGATTAATTCCAACGTTTCGTTCGGCAATCTGGTCTGAACTTCTTCAGGGAAATTAATCGAAATTGACATAACAGCAGAGGTTTATATATATAAAAGGAACATCACTTGTTTTAAAAACTTTGTCCAATCATAAGTCATTCAACAAGTATAATAAACAAAATTTTATGAGCTGTGATCAAAATTTGACCTCGAACTTACAAATATTGGTCTAATTTTGTTAAACACTTTAAACAGAGTGTGCATGTGTGTGTGTGGGTAGACAGTTGTAAAACATTTCTTAACGTCTCCATATGAAGATATGGACAGTCGAGAATTTCGACCAAGTATTATTAATTAGTGATACATATCCATTTTTTATTTATTAATCAGGATTTCCTATGCATCAGCTAACACACATCACACCTTCATGTCTGTTCAAACTGTTAGTACCTAGAATTTTATGATTAGACGTATATTTTCAAAATTATGGTGTTTAGGACTGGAGTTTAGTAGAAGCACCCTGTCGGACTTGTTGCTTAGCCTTCTTTCTGAAGATTTAGCTGCTTTATTCGACCTACTGGAGTTGTCAGGTGACTCGACAGCTACGATTTAGGATGTGCATTATGTTGCAGACAACGGAGAGTGAAAACACGATGATTGTGCCAATTACACAGTTTCTTTGTTAGTTTAATTCGATTGCAAAATAATTCAAATGAACTGTCGTCAAGATTTGACAGAACAGTTCTAAAATATTTGGGCGCCGAGTGAGAAGTAGACATTTGCGGAAAATTATATTTGTAAAGTCTCAGCAAGATTGAATTAATCATGCAAAATGACAAGTGTACGAATGTTTTTCAAGTCATGTTCAAATGCATAAGGGGAAGGGAGTATGAGAGATTAAAATTAAGGTAAAATGCATTACGGTTCAGTTACATCACTTAGATAAACAATTAGTCATTAGACAATATAACAGGAATTGTGAACTCAGTAATGTTAACAGTAACAGTTCTAATAAAAGCATATCACTTACATCTGTCTATAGAAGAGGAAGATAATTGTTTATCTTTCCTAGACACATTGCTTAGTCGACGGCTTGATGGGTCAATAAAAAGATCTATTCATAGAAAACCTAACTGGACATGACAGTATCTTAATAAGCACAGTTTCTACCCTGTTCGGTACAAAAAAGCCTTAGTTAGGTGCCTCTTCAGTGAAATCTAACGAATATGCACTGAAGACACACTTGATGAAGAAAAAAGAAAGTTGAAACAAACTCTGGTTGATAAGAATTATCCAGGCAAGTTCATAAGGAGATATAAATTGGTCAGTGGAACACCAAGACTCACTCTCCAACTCTCTCCTGAGAAAGACGTGTACATCAAGTTGCCCTATATAGGTAATCAAAGCAACTTGACAGCTAGACAAACATTGAACTCTGCTGTTAAAATGACTTTTCATGCAGCTCAGATCATAATAATTGAGAATTTGAAGCCAATATATCCATCCATCTAACCCTTTGAACATGCGGAAAAAATGACATCACATCCCACTGTATTTGCCATTTTGAATCTACATGTGGACACCCATATATAGGGAGGATTCATTGATCTCTAGAAGTAAGGGCTGGCTTCAGAGCATATTTCTAAATGGCTCCAACAGCAAATAGAATCCTCAGAACCCATTAATGGTGAGAACAGGAGACCTAGCTCCTCTATTGCGAAACATATTACAGAGGAGACAGGGCATACAACTGATGCTTATATATCTTTTAAACCTACTCATAAAACTTTTTCGAGTAGGACGTATCCTAAAGTTTTTGGAGGCTCTAACTGGCAAT